AATCACCAAAAACCCCAAACTTTGCCATCTGTGATACATTTACTCCGAACTTTTTTTTGTGACACCAAAAACCCCGAACTTTGCTTTTTGTGACACATTTACCCCAGTGTATTTAGTCCATGGGCATTTTCGTCTTTTTTGCTTTTTCTTTTTTTTTTTTCTTTTTTTTTCCTTTCCGGCGAGGGCTGCCCATCGCCAGATCGGCGAGGGGCCCTCGCCGGTGTCGAGCGAGGGCGGCCCTCGCGATCCGGCGAGGGCGGCCCTCGCCGGCGTCGGCGAGGTTCGCCTCGCACGGGCGAGCGAGGCGGCCCTCGCCCGGCTCCGAGGTCGACCCTCGCCCGACGCGGCGAGGGTCGACCTCGCCGAGTCGGGCGAGGGCCGCCCTCGCTCGCCCAGCGAGGCGACCCTCGCCGGCGTCGAGCAAGGGTCGCCCTCGCCCGGATTTGGCGAGGGCCGCCCTCGCCGGCGTCGGGCGAGGGCCGCCCTCGCTCGCCCAAGCGAGGCGACCCTCTCCCGACGCCGGCGAGGGCCGCCCTCGCTCGACTCCGGCGAGGGTCGACCTCGCCGAGATCGGGCGAGGCCGCCCCGCTCGCCGGCGAGGCGGACCTCGCCCGACGCCAAGAGGTCGCCCTCGCACGGGCGGCGAGGCGGCCCTCGCCCGGCTCAGCGAGGTCGACCCTCGCCCGACGCCGGCGAGGGTCGACCTCGCCTGAGTCGGGCGAGGGCCGCCAGGCGAGGGCCGCCCTCGCCGGAAAGGAAAAAAAAAGAAAAAGCAAAAAAGACGAAAATGCCCATGGACTAAATACATCGGGGTAAATGTGTCACAAAAAGCAAAGTTCGGGGTTTTTGGTGTCACAAAAAAAAGTTTGGGGTTTTTGGTGGTTTTTTCCCAATTTTTAATAGTCAAAAAATTAATTTGTGATAAAATTTATCTTATATGTATTAGCTTGAAGTTCTTTGTGATAGTAACCCTTTATGGTATGGGTTTGTTTTATTTTTTTTTTTACTTTTTCGTGATTCATAGCTTTGGGAATTCGCGTTTTGAGTTAGTACTTTTTCGATATTGGTCATTCAAAAATAAAGAAAATGTCCATGCAAGAAATTATTTATTCACATATAGTTAATTATTTCAGTTTAATTGGCGTATTGAGCAAGTAGGGTCTCATAAAGCTCCGTTTGTTTCGCGAAAAATAAATGTTTCGAAAAATATTTTTCTAAGGATGATAGATTTTATTGATTGAAATAATTAATCAATGAAAAAATATTTCCATTACCGATAATAATTGACGTCTAAATACTTTTGTGTACGACAAGGATGTTCTTCATTAATTTATTTTTGCAAGCAAAACGAGCTTTCATTTTTAGGAAAACGTTTTCTGAATCATTTATTTTCCGTGAAACAAATGCATCTTAAATCTCTTATTATTCTCAACCTAAGGTGCAATTAGTCACATTACTTGTCATCCTTGAGATTATTGTGAGCAATTTTCAATAAATCATATCACTGCCGAATGGCCATCACATAAGCATTTCATTGAAAAATTTGTCGAATTACAATTAAAAGTATAACTTCTTAAGGCTCTTTCTTAATTTCGTTTTCTTTTTCAAAATTCTGTTGCTTGATTTTTTATGAAATTTAATCTTACTGAGAAATTAATACAACAAATTAAAATACCAATGATGTGGTCAAAGTGCTTGAATCAAAAAATGAAGAAGAAGAAGAAGAAGAAAATATCACTTAAGGTGCGTTTGGTAACCATTCTGTTTCTAGAAACAATTTCTATTAAGAAATGATTTTTTTTTATTTTGTTCCCGAAAATAATTTCTGAGTATTTGAAAGTTTTTTATAACTGTTCAAAATTTCTATTCTTTGATTAGAAAAAGAACAGAAATGCATTTGCTAACTACACAAAAATTCTTTTCATTAATAATATTTTGAATTTTTTAATATTTCTTTTTTTTTCTTTTTTTCTTCTTCTTCTTCTCCTTCCTTGGTCCATGGCCAGCGAGGGCAGCCCTCGCCCAGGTCGCAAGCCGCGAGGGCAGCCCTCGTCGACGCTCATCGGGGCTCTCCATGCTCTTACAGCGTCGAGCGATAGTGCTGTGGGCAGTGCAGGACCATAGAATTGAAGAGATCAACCCTTTCAGCTGAAGCGACGGAGGTATTCCCATCTCGTCTTTCCTCCTCCTCCTCCCTCCATAATCGTCTATCGATAGCCTGAGCCAGTGAGGGTCGTGACACCCTCGCCGGCCGCAAGCCACAGGTCAGGAAAGAAGAAGAAGAAAAAAAAAATTCTATTTTGATCCTTTTCTTTTGTTCCAGAATCAAAAATTAACTTTTTTTTTTATTCTTGAGTCTATTCCAAAACTATTCCTAGCAACAAATTTGTTCTCGAGAACAATAAATTTACCAAATGAATTTATATTCTTTTTTTATTCCCAGAAACAAAAGAATAGAACCAGTCACTGTTTGGCTGGTTACCAAACAAGCCCTTAAAAGAATCAAATGCTTAGCTCTACGCATGATGTGGTCATGATGTAGGATTATGTTATGACAATAGCATCAATACATCCTCGTTCCCCTTTTTGAGCAAAAACCAAACCAAGTATGATCGATTCATATTTCAACATTCCCCGTTTATTATTCTTTAGGTATTGTCAAAATACGGAGATCTCGAACCATACAAAGCATCTACCAACTAAAGTTATATAGGAAGGTCGAAAAATCAAAAGCATTATAAGGACCAATGCAAGCTCACAAGATCTGACAAATTTATTGATGCTTCGATTATTGAAAGATATCAACAAGAGTTCGATTCCGCACACGGACTAATTAGGGATTTCGACATTAACATCGGAGGAACTAGTTAATGAGCGTTTGATGCACGCACATGTGTGAGTCCTCGTGTCGCAGAGTGCCAACTTGGCCCCGTGACATTGAAAGAAGCAATCAACGTCTCGCTGGCATGATGCTTCGACTCTTGTCACCGGCCATGACCCACCTAAAAAAGGGGGAAAAAACAAAAATTTAGGATATTACCATTTTTCTTTTTTCTTTTTGGGAGATATTAATTTTGAAATAGCACGTGCCATGCACACGAAGGAAAGCAATTACAAAATTAAGCAAATTGGGGTATTCCTGGTACTCCCTTAGCCTTGCGTTAACTTATGAAATGAAAATGTTAAATATCCTCCTAACAATCAACAAGATGAGATCAATTGCCTCAACAAATAAGAAAATCATGTTAGGGTATCATAACATTGAGAGAGAGAGAGAGAGAGAGAGAGAGAGAGAGAGAGAGAGAGAGAGAGAGAGAGAGAGAGAGAGAGAGAGAGAGAGAGAATTACAAATTAGAGTCACCAAGAGGAAGACCAACATCAACTTGGAGGCTTGCTTCATGATTCCTTTGGGTTTAGGTTTTTATAGAATGATGATGAATGGTTGATGGTTTGGTTATGCTAAACAGAGAGTGCTGTGCAATGAAGTTTATGCGCACTGCAAGTCACTATTTATACACTTTAAATATCTCTTGTTATGTTAAATGCATATGTTTAGATTTCTCTCTTACACCTTTGGTAATTTCATCATTAAGATACCTTCATTACATATTTCTACCATATTTTAGTGATTACTGTTACTAAATTGTATGTTCAAGGTATGTTCAGATTTCTCTTTTACATCTTTAGTAATTTCTTCAGTAAGATACCTTTGTGACATGCTTTTAACGGATTCTAGTGATTATTCTTCATCTATCTGTTCTTAATTGACGATATATGTAGTAATAATGGAAAATATGCCAAAGACAAGAAAGACAATACTAGTTTCAATTCAATTATTGGTGGAGAGAGGTTCTCTAGATTTTCATAGTGAAAAGATTTATGTTCTAAATGTGTAAAAAATAAAGAGAAAAAGTTCGATGATATTTTTCGGAAATCCCAAAAAAAAGGATTTCTTTTTTCATAAAATGAAATAGAAATTTTAAATGGAACGAGAGAGACTTATGACAATGGTTTGCATTAATCTCAATATTTAAATCATGGTTTCTTTAAGTGGAAAAATGATAGGATAGGATTAAAACAATTGGATTTATCTACCAGAATAAGTTTAGCCTTTTATCATTGGGTTAATACCATGTAAAACTCCAAACTGATAAACCTGTGACAAATTTACCTTCTGTTAGATGAGACGTGGCAATTGATAGATGTACAAGTTTTAGGTTTTACCCTCCGTCACAGGTGTATCAGTTTGTAATTTTTTATAGTATTAATCTAATTTAACAGAAACTAAGGAAGAATAAATTTGTCATAAGTGTACCGGTTTGAAGTTTTTTGTGGTAAAAAAATTAGTTTTGAGTAAATTTGTCACAAGTGTATCAATTTAAAGTTTTTCGTGAAAAAAAATAATTTGAAGTAAATTTATCACGGGTGTACCAATTTATGATTTTTCGTGATATTAACCCTTTATCACTCATGATTATGGATTTCCTTATAATAAGCTCCGAAAAAAAAAAAGGCTATATAGTAATTGAATTTATTTTTTATCTGTTCTATCTCTAACTTTTATCACTTTCTACCCTGCCTCTTATAGAGCACGGGAATCGAACTATGAACCTATAATACTATTGTCCGCACCCAGGCCACATACCTATTGGCATTTAGTAATTGGGTTAAACCGAAGATTTTCCTCTTCTTCTTTTACTTCGGACGCCAGTCTGACCTAACATGGCTGGAATTGTTCCTCTGTTTTCTGTCTACCATCTGAACAGAAGAAAATCAATCTCTCAGGCACCCTTATCCCAATTGCCTGGATGCCTCTACTTATCGGATGCTTCTTTTCATTCTTCCTCCCTGTAGGTACTCTAGTGTATGACTTAGTCTCTGATTCATTCAAAACCAGCACAAGTGGCCAACGTAGATTTGATGATCGTATGGATGCTCGACCGAGAGCACGAAATTTTCTAATCTGCAATCGCCAGCCCGTCAGGGATGCGTGGTAAGACTAACCCAAGAAAGCTTTGTAAGAATTACTAATAACATGGCTTCAGAGGATCACCGCAAATTAACACAAACCCCCACCCACCATTTGCTACCATGGCAAAGCAAGAAAGCAAATTCTGGGAATTCCAGCGTTTAAGAGGAACCATGCTCCGATACACAGATGAACATCCTAATGTTCAAAGCAGTCTATTGTCTAGTGATGATAATAATAGCAAAGCAGTCCATTGTCTAGTGATGATAATAATAGCAAGAGTATCAATATTAGCGACAGCAGCGCTATAAGAATAGTCTAAAACATCAGCTCTGGCAGACCTCCTTTAGACAAATTCATCCCCGCAAAACCCGCAACCGTGTCAAAACAATTTTGGAACATTAACAGGATATCTATAAAGAGGCTCCATCTTATTCTATAAGTTTCAATCAATTGGCCAGTCAATCGAATTACCAAGGCCTCCCTAAAAAAAAAAATGGGGGCAGGGATAAAGCAATCAAATATAGGTTCCGTTTGTTTCGAGGAAAATGAATAATTTGGAAGATATTTTCCTAAAAACTATTGCTTATATCGCTTACAAAAAATGAATGAACAAAGAATATTTCCATCGAAGAAAATGTTTAGACAAACTGTTATCAATAATGAAAACATTTTCCATCGACTAATTATATCAAGCGATAAAAGCGATCATTTTTAGGACAATGTTTTCAAAATCCGCGAAAAAAACAGAGCCTTAATCAGATCCTATTTTAGTCAAGGAGACATTTGTATGGGTTAAATAGAGGAATTTTCTGATAACACTCTCATCTGTGATAATTATGAACAAAAACTTTTCACAGATTGGAGAAAAAGGGGTAATATTCAGTCAGTGCCAGCGACATGAGTATACCTAGTGTGTGGCTATGCACAGAAAATAGAGATGGTACCTGGATCAAATCCTTACGAGCTTCTTGCAGTTCTTCATTGCTCTGGCGCTCTTCACTAATGAGGGCAGAATTCAGATCCTCCAAGTTGGTCAACTTTTCCTCCCTCTCTTTCAGTTCATCATTAATCTCCATCATCTTTTCTTCAACAGCTTCATCATCTTGATCTTCAAGGTGCTTCATAATTTCTACTATTCCTTTCAACTCTTCAATCCCAATTTCCAATTTGTGCTTCCCGTCAAGCTGCTCTTCCAACTCAAGGATCTTACTCAGGGCCTCCTCTTTCTCCCTCTAAAAATCCTAGCAGTGTCAGTCATGTATAAAGCAGAATATGCTATGGTAATCAAATGGAAGTTTTTTTCACTGGCATTCACACCTCTTGTTCTTCCACCAGCCTGAGGACATTTTCATCAGCTCTTTTCTGCTCCCTTGATGCTAACTGGATAGAACTGTTTTTGACATCGTTCTAGAAGGACAAATTAAGAAATCAGTATACATCTTGCGATGCGATCTTGACTAAATACGACATGTGCCAATGCTTTCAGCAGACTACCAGAACCTGCCAACTGCTAAGTTTTCAATGCAATTGTCTCGCCTTAGCGAGTACAAAAAAGTAAGCACTCTTATTATTCAAACATTTTGGTGTCCTTTTCTATCAGGCTCTTATTGCTCAAACAATGAAGAGCAACCGATTATTTCCTTCTTAAGTACTATTCTCTAAGACGCAGGCAGTAAAAATGCTTCCATGTGACATGTCTGATGACCACTTTGCATCAATTGAAGAAAATGACAAATTCGCCCGTGTTTCTACAAACTGGGTGATCGAGGCAGACATCAATCAAAGACCACCCTCAAAAAGAATTGCACACGAAGCGTAGTTACGAAGGCTCCAAAAATATATTAGTTTAGTAAGGTAGCTAAAAGGTGAAAGTACGAAGTAAATAGTCTTGGCAAATAGTATGCTCCCTTCGTGTAACCTTTTTCTTGTCCTCATCCAGCTTTTGTCTCTCACGCTCGGTTAGGGCCTCACTTTTGTTCAATTCTTTGCTCCAACAATCAATCTTTCTTTTCTTCCTTTCCAACTCATTGCTAATTTTCTCTTGTTCTAACAATATCCCTTGTATTATGTCACGTTGAAGGCGTTGCATCCTCCTTTTTTCTGTAAAAACAATAAAATACAAGAAATTTAAGTCATGTTTCTTTAGAATGAGAGCATGTAGCAGTCACATATAGAACTTAATGGGAATTTAAGATTTGGTGCCAGTATCAGCCTTCAGGCTTATAAAAAGTCAGCATGTGGAAAGTGCCCTCGACATAACATCTCTTTAGCATGCAGCACTGACCACATAACTTTCGATATTTGATGAAGTGCACATAAAACTCGCACCAGAGCAACTATGAACTACATAGATGTTATGACGTACAATCTGATAAAGATGAGAAAGTCCATATACATGGCCGGATGCACACAAGCACGTGAGAGAGAGAGAGAACCTTCCACAAAAGCAGAGTGAAGCTTGTCTTTTTCATCAAGCATCCTACTCAGTGACAAAGTCTTCTCAATATACTCGGACTGTAATTCCTCCAGAATTTCATTCGTCAAATCAATCTCGTTAGCTAGGTGCGCAACAATTCTGTGTCTTCTTTGAGCTTGGTCTGCCTCGCTGGCTAGGTCTGTCCCCAGGTACTCCGCCAAGGCAAGGTGGTATGCCTTTCGTTTGCCACTTCTATTCCCAGAACCTTCATCCACTCCTGCCGCATGTTGACATAGTTCTTCATACCTGTAGTCCTGCTCTTTCTTGCCCGTACAGGAAGGGCATCTTAAGCTTCCATTTGGGCCCTTAACTTTGTACTTCCCGGATTTCAACTCATAAGGTCCGTCTATGTGGTCCAATATCTCAGAATCACTAATATCTGAATCTTCTTCAGAGCTGTAGTCCATCTCCCGTTTGTTTCCGATCTAAAGAAGTGGAAAAGAAATTTTTTTTTGCAGATCAACAAGACATTGCAAAAGCGGCAGCTTTCAGGTAAGAAAGTCAAGAAACAGTCACACCACTTATGCAGAAAAAATAGAGCACGAAACTGACTACCCCTGGTTTGCCGGATTATTATACGACCCCCATCCCACACCCCCCCCCCCGGCGCCCTCTCAAGAAGCCCAACACTACTAACCACGATGACGAGGTCGCTCTAGCTCAAAAGAATGCAGGATCAGCTCGCATGGTGGGAGACTGTGACGCTACGCATCAATGCAATGCATGCAAACCCACATTCAGCCCAATGCATGCCCAGAAATATAGGAGCAATTCCCACCGATATACCCCGCAACAAATAAACTCAACATCCCACCAAACAGAAACTACAGGGCATATTTCAACTTGCTAGCACAAAAAATCGATCTTTCCTGCAAGGCGAGTAAGGCGGATTCCAGCTTTTCCGTCATCAGCTAAGAATAACTTAATGACCCCCAGCAACTTGCGCACCCACAATCAGTACATTCCAAAGCCAGTATAACTACGGCTTTTCATAAAAATTTCACATGCAAACAGCACTACAGTCTCCGTTCATTTTGCCCTGTCCCTCTTCGTCGCGGCCGAAACCGATCATTCCCTGAACACGCCCCGGTTTGCCAGATTATACTACGACGTCCCCCCCTCCCCAAGAAGCCCAACACTACCTACTGACCACGATGACGACGTCGTCTCTACCCCAACAGAACGCAGGATCAGCACGCATGGCGGGAGACTCTGATGCTAGCTACGCATCAATGCCGTGCATGCAAAGCCCCATACGAACAAGATTTTCACACCCATGTCTCGCATTTCCCACACAGAGAAGTACAACTTTTCAAGAATCGTACCCTCTTACCTCCTCCTTCTTGAGCTTGCTTCGGCGATCGAGCTTGAACCGGCGGAAATCTCGCCTCGTGGGTTCGGGAAATTCCGCCTCGCGTGCTCGGATCGCAGCTAATCCCCAACGGAGAGCGAAAGCAACGGACGCATTTGGGAGGAAGAATTTACTCGCTGCTTCCTCTCGCTTAGGGATTTTCTACCGTGGGTTAATGCCACCAAAACACTGTATGTACGCGACAATTTTACCCTCTCGGTTAATACTATCAAAATCAAAACTGATCTATTTATGACAATCTTACCCTTCCCGTTACTTTTCGATCTAATTTATAAGTTGGATGATACGTGACAAATGACGGGTGTACCAAATTAAGGTTTCACCCTCCATTTATCACAGATGTATCGTTTTGAGAAATTATTCGCGGTATTAATATAATTTAACAAAAGGTAAATTTGTCATCGGTGTACCGTTTTGGGTTTTTAACGGTCAAATAAATTTTTTGGTATAAATTTGTCATGTTTGTACCAGTTTGAGATTTTTTGTGGTCAAAAAATTAATTTGCGATAAATTTATCATATGTGTACCAGTTTGAAGTTCTTCTTGATAGTAACCATCTATCGTATGGTTTTGTTTCATTTTTTTTATAACTTTTTCGTGATTCTTTTATAGCTTTGGGAATTCGTGTTTCGGGTTTGTACTTTTTTGATATTGGTCATTCAAAAATAAAGAAAATGTCTGTGGAAGAAATTATTTATTCACATATAGTTAATTATTTCAGTTTAATCGGCGTATTGAGCAAATAGGGTCTCATGAAGCCCTGTTTGTTTCGTGAAAAATAAATGTTTCGGAAAATATTGTCCTAAAGATAATAAATTTTATCGGTTGAAATAATTAATCAATAAAAAAATATTTCCATTACCGATAATAATTGACGTCCAAATGTTTTCGTGTACAACAGGGATGTTTTTCATTCGTTTATTTTTGTGAGCGAAACGAGCTTTCATATTTTTAGGAAAACGTTTTTCGAATCATTCATTTTCTGTGAAATAAATATTCCTTAAATCTCTTATTATTCTTGACCCGAGGTGCAATTAGTCACATTACTTGCGATCCTTTAGATTATTGTGAACAATTTTCAATAAATCATATCACTGCCAAATGCACATCGTATAAGCATTTCACTGAAAATTTTGTCGAATTACGGTTAAAAGTATAACTTCTTAAAGCTCTTTCTTAATTTCGTTTTCTTTTTCACAATTCCGATGCTTGATTTTTTTATGAAATTTAATCTTACGAAGAAATTAATACAGCAAATTAAAATATTAATGATGCAGTCAAAGTGCTGGAATCAAAAGAAGAAGAAGAAGAAGAAGAAAATATCACTTAAAAGAATCAAATGATTGGCTCTGCGCATGATGTGGTCACGATGTAGGATTATATTATGGTGATAGCATCAAGACACCCTCATTCCCCTTTTTAAGCAAAAATCAAACCAAGTATGATTGATTCATATCTCAGCATTCCTCGTTTATTAATCCTTAGGTATTGTCGAAATACAGAGATCTCGAACCATATAAAGCATCTACCAACTAAAGTTATATAGGAAGGTCGAAAAATCAAAAAGCATTATAAGGACCAATGCAAGCTCACAAGATCTGACAAATTTATTAATGATTCCATTATTGAGAGATATCAACAAGAGTTCGATTCCGCACACCAACTAATTAGGGATTTCAACATTAACATCGGAGGAACTAGTTAATGTGCGTTTGATGCACGCACATGTGTGAGTCCTCGTATCGCAGAGTGCCAACTTTGCCCCATGACATTGAAAGAAGCAATCAATGTCTCGCTGGCATGATGCTTCGACTCTTGTCACCGGCCATGGCTCACCTAAAAAAGGGGGCAAAAAACAAAAATTCAGGATATTGCCATTTTTATTTTTTATTTTTAGGAGATATTAATTTTGAAATGACACGTGCCATGCACACGAAGGAAAGCAATTACAAAATTAAGCAAATTGGGATATTCCTGGTACTTCCTTAGCCTTGCTTTAACTTATGAAATGAAAATGTTAAATATCCTCCTAACAATTAACAAGATGAGATCGGTTGCCTCAACAAATAAGAAAATTGTGTTAGGATATCATAATATTGAGAGAGAGAGAGAGAGAATTACAAATTAGAGTCACCAAGAGGAAGACCAACATGAACTTGGAGGCTTGCTTCATGATTCCTTTGGGTTTAGGTTTTTATGGAGTGATGAATAGTTGATGGTTTGGTTATGCTAAACAGAGAGTGCTATGCAATGAAGTTCGTGTACACTGCAAGTCACTATTTATACACTTGAAATATCTTTTGTTCTGTTAAAAGCTTATGTTCAGATTTCTATCGTACACCTTTGGTAATTTCATCATTAAGATACCTTCGTGACAAATTTCTACCATATTTTAGTGATTATTGTTACTTAATTATAAGTTCAGGTTATGTTCAGATTTCTCTCTTATATCTTTGGTAATTTCATCAATAAGATACCTTCGTGACATGCTTTTAACAGATTCTAGTCATTATTATTCATCTATTTGTTCTTAATTGACAATTTATGTAGTAATAATGGAAAATATGCCACAGGCAAGTAAGACAACAAAAGTTTCAATTCAATTATTGATGGAGAGAAGTTCTCTAGATTTTCATAGTGAAAAGATTTATGCTCTTAATGTGTAAAGAATAAAGAGGAAAAATTTGATGATATTTTTCGGAAATCTCAACAAAAAGACTTCTTTCTTCATAAAATGAAATAGAAATTTTAAATGGATTAGGAGAGGATAACGACATTGGTTTGCGTTAATCTCGACATTTGAATCATGATTTCTTTAAGTTGACAAACATAGGATAGGATTGAAACAATGGATTTTAACTATTAGAATAAGTCTAGCTTTTTATCATTCATGATTATTGATTTCCTTATAATAAGCTCCAACAAAAAAAAATCAATAATAAGCTATTGTAGCAATTATGTTAAACGAAAAATTTCCCTCTTTTTTTTCTTCTTATGCCGGTGGCTCAAACTTGTTTATTCATCTTGTTTTTAACACCTAAACAGAAGAAAATCAAATCTCTCGGGCACCCTTATCCCAATTACCTTGATGCCTCTACTTATTGGATGCTCTTTTTCATTCTTCCTCCCTATAGGTACTCTAGTGTATGACTTAATCGTTTTTTTTTTGTCTATCCTATATTCAACTCTCCTCTCTCGAACCCCGTACCTATGATACTAACGTCTCCACCTCCTCAATCCTTTTATCAGTAAGGCCGCATGCCTATTGGCAGTGTATGACTTAATCTGCTTTGTTCAAAACCAGCACAAGTGACCAGCGTAGATTTGTTGATCGTATAGATGCTCGACTGAGAGCATGAAATTTTCTAATCCGCAATCACCAGCCCGTTAGGGAAGCGTGGTAAGAACTAACCCAAGAAAGCTTTATAAGAACTACTAAGAACATGGCTCGAGAAGAACGCCGCAAATTAACACAAACGCCCACCCACCATTTGCTAACATGGCAAAGCAAGAAAGCAAATTCTGGGAATTCCAGGGTTTAAGAGGAACCCTGCTCCGATACACAGATGAACATCCTAATGTTTGATTAGCTAATTTAAGCTCAAAGCAGTCTATTGTCTAGTGATGATAATAATAGCAAAGCAGTCTATTGTCTAGTGATGATAATAATAGCAAGAGTATCAATATCAGCGACAGCAGCGCTATAAGAATAGCCTAAAACATCAGCTCTGGCAGACCTCCTTCAGACAAATTCATCCCTGCAAAACCCGCAACCCAGTGTCAAAACAATTTTGAAATTTCAACAGGGTATCTATAAAGAGGCTCCATCTTATTCGATAAGTTTCAACCAATAGGCCAGTCAATCGAATCACTAAAGGCCTTCATAAAAAAAAACAGATGGGGCATGGATAAAGCAATCAAATTTAGGCTGCGTTTGTTTCGCGGAAAATGAATGATTTGGAAGATATTTTCCTAAAACTATTGCTGATATAGTTTACAAAAAATGAATGAACATAGAATATTTTTATCGTTCGCGAAAATGTTTAGATAAACTGTTATCAATAATGAATACATTTTCTACCGACTAATTATTTCAAGCAATACAAACGATCATTTTTAGGACAATATTTTCAAAATCATTCATTTTTCACGAAATCAACGGAGCCTTGATTAGATCCTATTTTATTCAAGGAGACGTTTGTATGGGTTGAATAAAGGACTCTTCTAATAACACTCTGATCTGTGATAATAATGAACAAAAACTTTTCACAGACTGGAGAAAAAGGTGCAATATTCAGTCAGTGCCAGCGACATAATCATACCTAGTGTGTGGCTATGCACATATAATAGAGATGGTACCAGGATCAATTCCTAACGAGCTTCTTGCATTTCATCATTGCTCTGGCACTCTTCACTAATGAGGGCAGAATTTAGATCCTCCAAGTTGGTCAACTCGTTCTACTTCTCTTTCAGTTCATCATTAATCCCCTTCATCTTCTTTCGAACAGCTTCATCATCTTGATCTTCAAGGTGCTTCATAACTTCTACTTTTCCTTTCAACTCTTCAATCTCCATTTCCAATTTTTGCTTTCTGTCAAGCTGCTCTTCCAACTCGAGGATCTTACTCAGGGCCAGCGACATAATTATACCGAGTGTGTGGCTATGCACAGAAAATAGAGATGGTACCTAGATCAATTCCTTACGAACTTCTTGCAGTTCATCATTGCTATGGCGCTCTTCACTAATGAGGGCAGAATTCGGATCCTCCAAGTTGGTCAACTCGTCCTCCTTCTCTTTCAGTTCATCATTAATCTCCTTCATCTTCTTTTGAACAGCTTCATCACTTCTACTTTTCCTTTAAACTTTCCAATCTCCATTTCCAATTTTTGCTTCCCATCAAGCTGCTGTTCCAACTCAAGGATCTTGCTCAGGGCCTCCTCTTTCTCCCTCTAAAAATCCTAGCAGGGTCAGTCTTGAATAAAGTAGAATATGCTATGGTAATCAAATTTAAGTTTTTTTCACTGGCATTCACACCTCTTGTTCTTCCACCAGCCTGAGGACATTTTCATCAGCTCTTTTCTGCTCCATTGATGCTAATTGGATAGAAATGTTTTCGAGATCATTCTAGAAGGACAAATTAAGAAATCAGTGTACATCTTGTGATGCGATCTTGACTAAATACGACATATGCCAATGCTTTCAGCAGACTACCAGAACCTGCCAACTGCTAAGTTTTCAACGCAATTGTCTCGCCTTAGCAAGTACAAAAAAGTAAGCACTCTCATTATTCAAACATTTTGGTGTCCTTTTCTATCAGGCTCTTATTGTTCGAACAATAAAGAGCAACCAATTATTTCCTTCTTAAGTACTATTCTCTAAGACGGATGCAGTAAAAATGCTTCCATGTGACATGTCTGATGACGACTTTGCATCAATTGAAGAAAATGATGAATTCGCCTGCGGTTCTATAAACTTGGTGATCGAGGCAGAAATGAATCAAAGACCACCCTTAAAAGGAATTGCATGTAAAGCGTAGTTACGAAGGCTCGAAAAATATATTAATTTAGTAGGGTAGCTAAAAGGTGAAAGTAAGAAGTAAATAGTCTCGGCAAATAGTATGTTCACTTCGTGTAACCTTTTTCTTGTCCTCATCCAGCTTTTGTCTCTCACGCTTGGTTAGGGCTTCACGTTTGTTCAATTCTTTGCTCCAACAATCAATCTTTCTTTTCTTCTTTTCCAAGCCATTGCTGAGTTTCTCTCGTTCTAACAATATCCTTTGTATTTTGTCATGTTGAAGGCGTTGCATCCTCTTTGTTTCTGGAAAAACAATAAAATACAATAAAATGTAAGTCATGTTTCTTTAGAATGAGAGCATGTAGCAGTCACATATAGAACTTAATGGGAATTTAAGGTTTGGTGCCAGTATCATTCTGCAGGCTTATAAAAAAGTAAGCATGTGGAAATGCCCTTGACATAACATCACTTTAGGATGCAGCACTGACCATATAACTCTCGATAATTGATGAAGTGCACATAAAACTTGCACCAGAGCAACTATGAACTACATAAATGTTATGATGTACAATCTGATAAAGAGGAGAATGTCCATATACATGGCCGGATGCACACAAGCACATGAGAGAGAGAGAGAGAGAGAGAGAGAGAGAGAGAGAGAGAGAGAGAGAGAGAGAGAGAGAGAGAGAGAGAGAGAGAGAGAGAGAGAGAGAACCTTCCACAAAAGCAGAGTGAAGCTTGTCTTTTTCATCAAGCATCCTACTCAGTGACAAAGTCTTCTCATTATACTGGGACTGTAATTCCTCCAAAGTTTCATTCGTCAAATCAATCTCGTTAGCTAGATGCGCCACAATTCCGTGTCTACTTTGAGCTGCTTCCTGAACAATGTCAGAGATTGTCCGCAACTTCCCTGTCTTGCGAACGTAATCTCCCACTGGCCCATCCGCATCATAGTCATCTGAACGCGCACACCAGCCATATGTAATTGATCCGGGCTCTGTCTGCGTGTTCCAGCCCTTTTTTCCGTGATTATCAGCTTCAAATTCTTTCTCAAACTCTGTTGCATTAATAAACCCATGCCAATCATCGTTGAACCTCACTACAGCTTTTGCCGACCGACCGTCTTCGTTCCAAAACATGTGGACTTCCAGAGGTTTGTACTTGGCAAACTTGGTCAGCCAATATGCACTATCTACGGGTTCTTTCCCGCTGTTTTTGTCATCGAGAATGTTAGCTATGACTCCAGTCCAAGGCCACACAAAAACCTCATCTTGCTGAGGCGTTTGTGCAGCGGGTTGCGGCACAACCGGTTGAGGAGCTTGGTCAGCCTCGCTGGCTAGGTCTGTCTCCAGGTACTTCGCCAAGGCAAGGTGGTTTGCCTTTTGTTTGCCACTTCTACTCGCAGAACCTTTACCCACCCCTGCCGCATGTTGATATAGTTCTTCATACCTGTAGTCCTGCTCTTTCTTGCCCGTACAGAAAGGGCATCTTAAGCTTCCATTTGGGCCCTTTACTTTGTACTTCGCGAATTTCAGCTCATCATAAGACTTGTCTACGTGGTCCAATATCTCAGAATCACCAATATCTGAATCTTCTGCAGAGCTGTAGTCCATCTCCGGTTTGTTTCGCATCTAAAGAAGCGGAAAAGAAAATGGTTTCACAGATCAACAAGACATTGCAAAAGCAGCAGCTTTCAGGTCAGAAAGTCAAGAAACAGTCACACCATTTATGCAGAAAAAATGGAGCACGAAACTGACTACGCCCCGGTTTGCCTTATTATACGACGCCACCCAAGAAGCCCAACGCTACTAACCATGATGACGAGGTCACTCTATGATAAAAGAATGCAGGATCGGCTCGCATGGCGGGAGACCGTGATGCTACGCATCAATGCCGTGCATGCAAGCCCACATTCAGCCCAATGCAAGCCCCGCGAACAAGATTTTCACACCCATCTCTCGCATTTCACGCACAGAGAAGTATAATTTTTCAAGAATCGTACCCTCTTACCTCCTTCTTCTTGAGCTTGCTGCTTGCTTCGTTGATCGCGCTTGAACCCGTGGAAATCTTGCCTCGTGGGTTCGGAAAATTCCACTTCACGAGCTCGGATCACAGCTAGCTCCGAACAGAGAGCGAAAGTAACAGAGCGATTTGAAAGGTAAAAGGAAGAAGAATTTACTTCCCACCCTCTCGCTTAGGGCTTTTCTAGGGATAGTTTCATTTTCTTTTGGGATGAATATCACTAAAAACTCCAAACAAGTACACATATGATAAATTTATTCTGAATTAATTTTTTGACCATTAAAAAGCCAAAACTCATACACCTATAACAAATTTACCCTCTATTAGTTTCCGTTAAATTTTACTCTTAAATTGTTGAATTGGATGACACTCCAGTTTGGAGTTTTACTTTCCGTTTATTACAAATGTACCGATTTGTGATTTTTCGTAACATGGTGACGTGGTAAGTCTATGTGAAAATTATTAAGGTTAATATCACGAAAAATCCCAAACAATTATTTAGATTAACAAATTTAACGGTAAAATTTGACGGAAGTTAATGGAAGATAAATTTATCACGGATATACTAATTTGAGGTTTTTCGTGATAAAAAAAATTAGTTTTGGGTAAATTTGTCACAAGTATACCAGTTTAGAATTTTTCGTGATATTAAACCTTTTTTTTCTTGTCGAAGAATTCATGTTTCAAGTATTGGTCATTAAAAAATAAAGAACATCCTCAGGAGCAAGAAATTATTTATTCACATATAGTTAATTAGTTCAGTTTAATCGGCTTGTTAAGCAAATAGGGTCTTACTTGTTTCGCAAAAAATAAATATTTTGAAAAATATTTTCTTGAGAATGATAAATTGTATCGCTTTAAATAATTAGTCAATAAAAAAAAGTCTCCATTACCAATAACAATTCATGTCTAAATATTTTCGTGTATGACAAGAATGCTCTTCATTCATTCATTGTTGTTCGCGAAATGAGCGATCATTTTTAAGAAAACGTTTTCCAAATTATTCATTTTTTGCGAAACAAACATACCCTGAATCTCTTATTATTCTCTGCCCGAGGTGCAATTAGTCACATTACTCGTGATCCTTTAAATTGTTGTGAACAATTTTCAATAAATCATATCATTACAGAATGGCAATCGCACAAGCATTCCACAGAAAAATTTGTGGAATTCCAATTAAAAGCATAGGACTTCTTAACGCTGTTTCTTAATTTCATTTTCTTTTTCAAAATTCCGACGTTTTGATTTTATGATGAAATTTAATCTCACTAAGAAATTAATACAACAAATTAAAATACTAAGTCATAGAGCTTGAATCGAATAATAAAAAAAGAAGAAGAAAATATCACTTAAAAAAATCAAATGATTGGCTCTACGCATGATGTGGTCTTGATGTAGTATTATATTATTCCTTTGTTCCCCTTTTTTTGAGCGAAAATCAAACATAAGTATGATCGATTCATATTTCAACATTCCCCGTTTTTTGTTCTTTAGGTAGTGTCGAAATATGGAGATCTAGAATCATATAAAGCATCTTCCAATTAAATTTATATAGGAAGGTTGAAAAATCAAAAGAAGTAGAAGGACCTATGCAAGCTCAAAAGATCAGACAAATTTATTGATGATTCAATTATTGACAGATATCGACAAGAGTTCGATTGTGCACATTGACTAATTAGGGATTTCGACATTAACATTGGAGGAACTAGTTAATGCGCGTTTGATGCAGGAACATGTGTGAGTCCTCAAATCGCAGAGTGCCAACTTGGTCCCTCGACATCGAAAGAAGCAATCAACGTCTCGCTGACACGATGCTTCGACTCTTGTTACTAGCCATGGCTCACCTAAAAAGGGGGAAAATAAAAATTCAGGATATTATCATTTTTTTTTCTTTTTGGGAGATGTTAATTTTGAAATAGCACATACGATGCACATGAAAGAATGCAATTACAAAATTAAGCAAATAGGGGTATTCCTGGTACTTCCTTAGCCTTGCGTTAGCTTATGAAACGAAAATTTTAAATATCGTCCTAACAATTAACAAGATGAGAATAATTGCCTAAATAAATAAGAAAATCATGCCAGAATATCATAATATTGAGAGAGAGAGAGAGAGAGAGAGAGAGAGAGAGAGAGAGAGAGAGAGAGAGAGAGAGAGAGAGAGAGAGAGAGAGAGTATTACAAATTAGAGTCACCAAGAGGAAGACCAACATCAACTTGGAGGCTTGCTTCATGATTCCTTTGGGTTTAGGTTTTTATAGAGTGATGAACGGTTGATGGTTTGGTTATGCTAAACCAAGAGTGCTATGCAATAAAGTTCATGAACACTACAAGTCGCTATTTATAAACTTGAAATATTTTTTGTGCCGTTAAATGCATTTGATGAATAATTGTATGTTTAGATTTCTCTCTTACACCTTTGGTAATTTTATCATAAAAATACTTTTGTGACATATTTCTACCATATTCTAGTGATTATTGTTACTAAATTGCATGTTCAGGTTATGTTCACATTTCTCTCTTACACCTTTGGTAATTTCATCATTAGGATAACTTCGTCACATCCTTCTAGCAAATTTTAGGATCATTGTCCATCTATCTGTTCTTAATTGACGATATATATATATAATAATGGAAAATATGCCAGAGGCAAGTAAGACAATAAAAGTTTCAATTCAATTATTGATGGAGAGAGATTCTCTAAATTTTCATAGTGAAAAGATTTATGTTCTTAATGTGTAAAAAAAAAATGGATGATATTTTTCGGAAATCCCAACAAAAGGACTTCTTTTTTCAAAAAATGAAATAGAAATTTTGAATGGACCGGGAGAGACTTACCACATTGGTTTGCATTAATCTCAACATTTAAATCATGATTTCTTTAAACAATAAGATAGGATTAAAACAATGGGTTTTATCTATCAGAACAAGTTTACCCTGTTATCAATCATGATCATTAATTTCCTTAAAATAAGTTCCGATAAAAAAAAAATCGATAATAAGCTATTTAGCAATTGGGTTTGACTTTCCTCTCTTTTTTCTTCGTACGCCGGTCTGACCTAAACTGGCTCGAACTTGGTTATTTGTTTTCTGCTTAACATCTAAACAGAAGCATATCAAATCTCTCAGGCACCCTTATCCAATTGCCTGGATGCCTCTACTTATCGGATGCTTCTTTTCATTCTTCCTCCCCGTAGGTACTCTAGTGTATGACTTCGTCTCTGATTCATTCAAAACCAGCACAAGTGACCAGCGTAAATTTGCTGATCGTATGGATGCTCGACCGAGAGCATGAAATTTTCTAATCTGCAATCACCAGCCCGTCAGGGATGCGTGGTAAGAACTAACCCAAGAAAGCTTTGTAAGGATTACTAATAACATGGCTTCAGAAGATCACCGCAAATTAACACAAACCCCCACCCACCATTTGCTAACATGGCAAAGCAAGAAAGCAAATTCTGGGAATTCCAGGGTTTAAGAGGAACCATGGTCCGATACACAGATGAACATCCTAATGTTTGATCAGCTAATTTAAGTTCAAAGCAGTCTACTGTCCAGTGATGATAATAATAGCAAAGCAGTCTACTGTCCAGTGATGATAATAATAGCAAGAGTATCAATATCAGCGACAGCAGCGCTATAAGAATAGTCTAAAACATCAGCTCTGGCAGACCTCCTTCAGACAAATTCATCCCTGCAAAACCCGTAACCCAGTGTCAAAACAACTTTGAAATTTTAACAGGGTATCTATAAAGAGGCTCCATCTTATTCGGTAAGTTTCAATCAATTGGCCAGTCAATCGAATTACCAAGGCTTCCATAAAAAAAAATGGGGGCATGGATAAAGCAATCAAATATAGGTTTCATTTGTTTCGCGGAAAAATGACTAATTTGGAAGATATTTTCCTAAAAACTATTGCTTATATCGCTTACAAAAAATGAATGAACAAAGAATATTTTCATCGTTTGTGAAAATGTTTAGATAAACTGTTATCAACAATGAAAACATTTTCCATCGACTAATTATTTCAAGCGATACAAGCGATCACTTTTAGGACAATATTTTCAAAATCCGTGAACAAACAGAGCCTTAATCAGATCCTATTTTAGTCAAGGAGACATTTGTATGGGTTAAATAGAGGAATTTTCTGATAACACTCTGATCTGTGATAATTATGAACAAAAACTTTTCACAGATTGGAGAAAAAGGGGTAATATTCAGTCAGTGCCAGCGACATAAGTATACCTAGTGTGTGGCTATGCACAGAAAATAGAGATGGTACCTGGATCAATTCCTTACGAGCTTCTTGCAGTTCATCATTGCTCTGGCGCTCTTTACAAATGAGGGCAGAATTTAGATCCTCCAAGTTGGTCAACTCATCCTCCTCCTCTTTCAGTTCATCACTAATCTCCTTCATCTTCTTTCCAACAGCTTCATCATCTTGATCTTCAAGGTGCTTCATAATTTCTACTTTTCCTTTCAACTCTTCCATCTCCATTTCCAATTTCTGCTTCCGTCAAGCTACTCTTCCAACTCAAGGATATTACTCAGGGCCAGCGACATAATTATACCTAGTGTGTGGCTATGCACAAAAAATAG